ACCGCAACCGCAACTGAGCGATACATTTCGACCCGCCCGCGGGGCGCGCAACTGCAACCGCTATTGAGCGACACATTTCAACCCGCCCGCGGGCGCGCAACCGCAACCGCGCCTGGGCGACACATTTCACCCCGCCCGCGGGCGCGCAAATGCAACTACGCGACGCATTTCAATCCGCCCGCGGGCGCGCAACCGCAACCGCAACTGGGCGACGCATTTCAATCCGCCCGCGGGCGCGCGACCGCAACCGCAACTGGGCGACGCATTTCAATCCGCCCGCGGGCGCGCAGCCGCAACTGGGTGAGACATTTCAACCCGCCCGCGGGCGCGCAACCGCAATCCCAACTGGGCGACGCGTTTCGACCCGCCCGCGGGCGCGCAACTGCAACCGCACCGCTCACCTGCCGTCCCCCCCCAGGGGATCTGAGGCGGAGGAATGGTGGGAAGGGGGGTGGGGGGGGAGGGGGGGGGGAGGAGGGAGGCGGGAGGGAGGAGGAAGTAGGGGGGGGAAAGGAGACAGAGGGAGGGTAGAGAGCTCACAATGATTGGGGGCGGACAACTTCTGCCCCCTCCCCGTTCCACGCAAGTGGATCTCCACAAGGCTCCAAGCCCTGGATTCCTTATCCAAGACGTCCACGGTCTGCTAGCGGGATGGGCGGGTTAAACCGCCCCCGAGGGGGGAGACGAGGCTTTGACAGAAGCGGTCCTCTGTACCGCCTAATTTGAAGTAGGGGGGCAATGCCGCGTGGATCGCTGGCGCGTTCACCCGCGCGCAAGCTGCCCGCGGATGTAGGTGCATCGGCGCCGTCTTATTCATGCAGCCTGCCGCGTCTTATCCATGATCTGGTGCAGGAGCACGTGGAAGAGGAGGGGGAGGAGTAGGAGGAGCAGCAGGACGAGGAGGAGGATGAGGAGGAGGAGGAGGAGTAGGAGGAGCAGCAGCAGGACGAGAAGGAGGAGGACCAGGATGGCCAGGAGAAGGAGGACGATGGGGAGGGGGATGCCAGGGTGGCGATGCTTGAGAAGGTGCACGAGCAGGTGCTTGTTGCGGGGGACTGAGGAGGATGAGGTGGTGGAGGTCAAGGAGGATACAGGTGGATGTCCTCCTCGCGGCCTCCGGGCGTGACCCGCGGTTCTCCGCCGGGACACTGCAGCGGGGAATCCCCGTTCCACGCTGTTGCCTCTGATTATGATTATGATGATGCTGATGTTGATGTTGATGATGATGATGATGATGATGATGATGATGATGATGCTGGTGATGGTGATGGTGATGACGATAACGACGATGATGAGGAGAAGTGTGAGGATGAGGAGGAGGGAGAGTAGCAGGAGGAGACGACGGTGAGGAGGAGGAAGAGAAGGAGGAGGAGGAGAAGCAGGAAGAGGACGGGGAGGAGGAGCAGAGGAGGAGGAGGAGGAGGAGGAGGAGGAGGCGGGGAGGAGGAGGAGGAGGAGGAGGAGGAGGAGGAGGAGGGGGAGGAAGAGGAGGAGGAGGAGGAGGAGAAGGAGGACGGAGGGGAGGAGGAGGAGGAGGAGGAGGAGGTGGAGGAAGACCAGTGTAAACCCAAGAGTCATTCACGATGTTGGAATTAACCCTCCCTCCAAGCTCCCTATTCATAGGCCTCTACAGCGGCTCATTTCCATTGAGGGAACTGCCTCGTTGGAAGACAACCGCTTGAAGATCCTGAAGCATGCCGAAACATTGTTCTCGGGATTTCAACGCCATGGATCCACCGGACTGCTGCGTCTTGACGATCCGGAATCGTGCCAGAATGCTATTTCTGGGACTTCAACACCGCATACAAACATAACTTCTGCACCCTCATAATCCTGAATCCTTCCAAAACACCACTTCTGGTACGTTGATCATGGGAATCCGTGAATGTGCGCGGCGCTTAGGCGAGAGCCACATTTTGAAAAAGAACCGCCCTCATTCCGTGAAGCTCTTGAACATGTTTAAATCGAATTTGCGCAGCGCTAAAGCAAGATCCACATTTTGAAAAATCCGCGAGACTCTTTCAAATTATTTTAAAACGAATATGGGCGCGGCGCTAAGACGAGAACCACAGTTTGACAAGGAACCGCCCTAAATCCGCGATACTGCTGCAAATGTTTAAAACGAATGTTCGCGGCGCTAAAGCGAGAACCACATCTTGACAAGGAACCGCCCTCAATCCGTGAAGCTCTTGCAACATGTTAAAACGAATGTGCGCGGCGCTCAGGCGAGAACCGCAAATTTGAAAAGGAACCGCCATCAATCCGTAAAACTCTTTCAAATGCTTAAAACGAACGCGCGCGGCGCTACAGCGAGAACCACAATTTGAAAAGGAGCCGCCCTCGATCCGTGAAGCTCTCGCAAATATTTGAAAAACGAATGCGCGCGGCGCTAAGGCGAGAGCCACATTTTGAAAAGGAACCGCCCTCAATCCGTGAAGCTCTTGCAAATGTTTGAAAAACAAATGTTCGCGGCGCTAAGGCGAGAGCCACATTTTGAAAAGCAGCCGCCCTCCATCTGTGAGACTGTTGTCACTTTGTAAGCTTCAGAGTCATACATGGTAAAGAAGTCTCAGGCGAAACGCCCGGCCCGCTCTAAAATATTGCCTCGGGGTGCGACAGGGAGAAGCTATTCATAAGGAAAAAGAATGGAGGATGAGGAGGAGGAGGAGGATCAAGAAAAGGAGAAGGAGGAGGAAGAGGAGGAGGAAGAGGAGCAGGAGGAAAAGACGGTGAGGAGGAGGAGGAGGAAGAGAAGGAGGAGGAGAACGGGGAGGAGGAGGAGGAGGAAGAGGATGATGATGATGATGATGATGAGGAGGAGGAGGAGGAGGAGAAAAAAGTAGGAGGATAAGGATGATGATGATGATGACGATGATGACGATGATGATGAGGAGGAGCAGGAGGAGAAGACGGTGAGGAGGAGGAAGAGGAGGAGGAAGAGGAGGAGGAGGAGGCGGAGAAGAGTAGGATGATGATGATGATGATGATGATGATGATGAGGATGAGGAGGAGGAGGAGGAGGAGGAGGAGGAGGAGGATAATGATGATGATGATGATGAGGAGGACGAGGAGGAGGAAGAGGAAGAGGAGGAGGAGGACGAGGAGGAGGAGGAGGACGAGGAGGAGGAGGAGGAGGAGGGAGAGGACGAAGCGGAGGAGGAGGAGGAGGACGAGGAGGAGGAGGAGGGAGAGGAGCAGGAGGAGACGACGGTTAGGAGGAGTAGGAGGAGGAGGAAGAGGAGGAAGAGGAGGAGGAGGAAGAGGAGGACGAGGAAGAGGAGGATGAGGAGGAGGAGGAGGAGGAGGAGGAGCGAGGAGGAAGACATCTCCTGGCGTTCGGGGGCCTCCCCTGGCCCGTGGGGCCCCGCCGACACGGGCGCGTGGCTCGAGCTCACAAGCTCCAACATCAACCCTCTGGCGCATGCCCTCCACTGCTGGTCATCGTTAACTCTTGGTCGTGCGCTTCGTGTCGTTGCTCATGCGACAGTCGAAGTCTAATAGTAAAGGGCGGGCGGTAAGGACGCAAGGGCCTTGGACGCCGAAGTTAGCACTGTTTAAGCGGCGGACTGCCAACACCCTGAAGGGCTGGCCAGTGAACACCGCGAAGGCTGGGCCGCAGAGGCAAGCACGCAAAGGTACCCTATGGACATCCGTGCGTCCTTACTATGAGTTTTGACTGTACGTACTGTCCATGGAAGAAATCAGCGCGAAATAACTTCATAACGTTGGAACTCCGCCGTGCAAGGAGATTGAGCGAGGTCCAGGCCACGACGACCTCAGGCTGAAAAACTGCACTTGCGGTTCGCGCTCATTGTTTACATGTTCAGCGACAGCCGCCGATCGTGCCCAGCTTTGAACTCGCGGCCTTTGCATGGCACAGTTTCAACGCCATGACTAAAGACTGCGCACTTTGTTTCCATTCACGGGATACCAACCCCAAGCATGCAGACCTCTACAATCCCGGACCCCTAAAGTCGTGACTTCTTGTCAACTTCGAACCCCCGAAAATTGTCCAAGCAGCGTGATTCACTGACATCTCACTGGGGCTGTCAGAGACGGGCATAAGCCAGCGCGGATCTTTGGGAGCTATAGGCTGCAACACGAGTCCCGCCCGCACACCACATCACGACGGCGAGAATTCTGGGTGCGAGAGGCTGCGCCAAGAAGTTGCGCCATGGGCTCCGCCCATCAAGTCAGCGGGAACTTTGGCGCCAAATGCTACGCCATGGGTTGCGCCATGCGCCATGGGTCCCGCGTGGTCCCGCTCTTAGGTCCCCTTGAACCATCCGGGATTTTTGAGTGCCATGGACGCCGCCACATTGCAATGCTCTGTCCCCGCCGAAAGGGGCAGTTGTGCCGGCGCGGGCTGCGCTATAAGCGACGCCATGAGTCCAGCCCATGTCCGCCCATAGTGTCCTTTGGCTGGAGGAGCTTTCCTGTGGCATGTGTTGTGCCATATTGCTTTGCAATGTATACTTTGTATGAATGTGGTTTGCTTTGCGCTGTGTTGCACTGCTTTGAACTGCTTTGCGCTACTTTGCTTGTCGTCGTGATGTTTTGCTCTGCATGTCATTGCACTGCGTTGTGTTGATTTGCATTGCTGTTTCTGTTTGCTGTGCACTGCTTTGTATTTGTTTGCATTGCCTTGGATTGCTTTACTCTGGTTTGTATTACTTGATTGCTTCGCATTGCTTTCCACTTCACCACGTAGGTTGCACGAACTCACAATTTGGGTACATGCAGGAATCATTTGCTGCTACGGTGCCTCTTGTTCACATCCTATTATTGTTTGCTTGCGCCGAGTTTTCGTCCCTAACATCGGTGACCACTCACGCAGTAAAGGGATTGGCTCCCAGAAGGAAGATGTCTGAACCTGTCGATGCGTTCTTTTCCGCCTGCATTCTCCCAATAGGAAGGTCAGGGGAAGGAACAGCAGCTGCGGAGGGAGTATTGTAACCCCCTGTCTGCGGGGGTCAGGAGATGTCCCCAGCCGCCCAGTCCTGGCCTCCGGCAGGGGCATGACCGGGCACAGCAGGGCGCCGATCTCGTCCTTGGGAAATACCGTCCTCGTCGAGCTGGCCTGCAAGCATGTCGGCCTGGGCACAAACACATCCACCACCCCAGGAGAAACCGTGTCGAGCGCGTCGTCGCAATCATCCCCACTTGTTGACCCCCCCGCCATCCGACAAATATCCGGCGATGGCATACCTGGAGTCTCTCATACATGGCTCGGGCATGCGAGAGGGCCAGAAATTGTATGTGCAACAGATGGACAAGACTGCTGGCACCAGAACGCTCCGCACCACGAACGTGTCCACAACTATGCTGTAGACGAGAACGAAGCCCATCTGATTGCTCACGGGAATGGTGCTGAGGAGTTCTGCGATAAACGTAAACGTCATGATCAGCCCGGCAGCCGTGATCGTTTCACTAGTGGCAGCGAGACCCAACAGAATTGACTCCTGGTCTGAGAACCCCTGCTGGCGGAACTCCCTGACCCGCTCGATCAGGAAAATCTCGTAGTCAAAGGCTAGGCCCACGATGAAGGTCAGAGTCATAACAGGCACGCTCCAATCGAGTCCGGCATCTCCGAGCGGAGCTAGGCACGGCATACCAAGCCAAGCCAACGCACCGTCTTCGTAAACGTACAGAGCGGCACCGTACGTCCAAGTGATTGGAATCACAACGGTCATGAAGAGCTTCAGCGGCAGCAGGACAGAGCCGAAGCACATTGCGATCAGCAACAAACTCACCACGATACACCCTGCGAAAGTGACGGGAAGTCTCTGTGAAGTCACGTCGATGAGATCCATGATGACACTGCTGGGCGAAAACACCGTGAATGTGAGACCCGGCAGGGCGGCGCCACCCCGTCGAGCGGCCCGGGTTTCGTTCCTGAGCGCCTCACGGACTCTGTTCACCAGCGAGAAGGCACCTGGACTAAAAGGGTCCAGGTCGGGGAAGGCGAATGTGAGCATGGCATTGCCATCCTTGGGGAGACCAAACGGTACTAGTACGGCTATTCCCAGGACCTCTCCTGGGGTGCGTTCTGACCACAACTTCGAGGCGGGACGAGGGCTTGCCAGGAACCCCCAAAGGGGGAAAACGAGGGAGCTGTAGCAGCATCGGTACCTTTTCCTCGTCTGAATCCTTGCTCACCAATTGATCCCACAATCGCTGCAGATTCTCAGACGTGTGAGTGAGGAGCATATTCTTGGAAACGTAATTCGTGCGAATCGCTTTGATCAGGCTGGGCGAAAGGCACTCCACGCCGCCGCCCTCGGCGCTCTCCTCGTGAAACGTGGCGCTGACGAAGCTGTCCACCGTCAGCGCGTAGGACATGTTGCGGGTTGCCCGGATGAGCGAATCGACCTGGCAGATCAATCATGTAAATGCGAGGCGAGGGTTTATCCACATCCACCACCTGGGGCCCAACATCCTGGAAGACCAGCCGGCAGTGGATGTGGACATAGTTGGCCCCTAGAGCCCGAATGTATCCATATCCACCGCCCGCCGACGTTCCCGAAGGTAGACACCCCAGGCGGTGGTTATGGAGAAATCCCCGCCTCGAACCAAAGCACAGCGTGATGCACGGACGAAGGTGGCAGGAAGACCAGAAGCACATGAACACATGAAACATAGAGAGCTCATTACCAAATTATTTGGATAAGGCACGGGTTCCGAGGGCAAACCTGGGGGCGGGGCAAATGAATGTCTAGGGGGCGGGGTAAATGAACGTCTAGCTGGTAGCCGACTGCGCCTGGCCCAGAACGTAATGAAGAGGCAACGGGGTAGAGGACACGGGCACGTCAAGGGCCATCACACATCCAACGATTCGACAACCAGCTGAGCAGCGCGCGACCATACGGCAGTTTGCCTCGAAGAACTCGTCGCCCTCCACCTCATGCTGAGAGGTTGGAAATCGGAGACTCGCGCATGATATAATGCCAAAACAAATCTTGAATGTCGCCTCACAGCCAGCCTTGCTACCACCATGTCCCCAGCTGGACGACGAAGGATTCCGAGGGGGAGGGAGGACGAGGGGAGAGGCGAGGGAGGCACGACAGGAGAAGGGAGCGAAAAGGAGCGAGGAGGGGGGGAAGCAGGGGAATTCCAGGGTAAAGCGGAGGGAGGGGGGGGCGGCCAGGGGGGCGGGAACGGGGAGGGAGGTCAGAAAGATTTTTTTTCAGCGCAGCCTTTTGTTGGGGGGGAAGTCAGGAAGAGAGCGGAGACGGGAGGAAAGGGAGAGGGCAGCGCGGGCAATGAAAGCGGGCGGCAGCGGCGGGGCGGCGCAGCGGCGGGGGGGGGGGAGACGGGCACAGCACGGCGCGAGGGCCCCCACGAGCTCACGCTGCTTCAGGCGGCGGCGAGCGAGGGGGGAGACGACGAGGAGGCCTGCTCAGGAGGCTCGGAAGTCCCCCGGCCTTCCGAGAGAAGTGTCCTGAGCCTTTCCCGAAGACGCAAGACATTTCTCAGAGGGCTAGCGGCCTTCTGAGAAGCACCCGCCGCCTTATCGGAGGGCCTTCTCTCGAGGACGGACAAAACCCCCTTTAGTAAAACGTGTTTAGTGAAAACGTCCTCGGGCCCAACCTTGGCGGGCGCAAGCCTGGAACGTGACGGCCGCGGCGCCCTCTCGAGAACCGAAAACGGACAATTCACTAATCGACGGGTCAGGGTGGGGGTTCTGTCCACCCCGGATTCTCCTTCTCGCCCCCCCCCCTCGCTCGCCGCCGATTCAAGGCACACGCACGTGTCGCAGCAAGAGAGTGGTCCTGCGCGCAGTCCCGCGTCGAAGCGTCGAAGGAGCCGACAGGCAGCGCGGGCGACGAGGCGAGCACAGTGTGAAGGGTAAGCCAGACCAACCGAATGTTCCACCAGCGGGGGCCTCTGCGATCGCCCAGATCAAACGAACGGCTCAGGAGAGGAGAGGTAGGAGAACGAAGAATGGCATAAACATAAAAACTCGGAGTTCCGCGCGGATTTCTCGGACCGGCGCTGGACCCCGCGCCAGGGGCGGCGCCGGAGGTGCCGCCAGGGGGGTTCAGCTCCGGTCCGAGAAATCCGCACGGACCGCCGAGTTCTTATGTTTATGTCATTCTTCGTTCCCCTGAGGAGGAGGGCGGCAAGCGCGCTCAGAAATCGAAGTTCAAGAGGTGCTTGTCGCAGCGGTCTGGCACCAAGCTACGGTCGAGGCAACCGAGGGGCACCGTGGGGCCGCACCGGGCACAAACGGGAGCGGGAAGGTCGCGAGAGGTGCCGAGGAAGCCGCGAAGCTCAAGAGACAGACGTCGGAAGCGTGCGCAAAGCAGGGGTAATCGGGCGTGGGGGCAGAGACGCCGCGGGCGCCAATGAAATCTTGGAGACACCAGCCGCAGTGGCTGTTTGGTGCGTCGTCGTCGTCGTCAGAGTCGTCGCTGTCAGAGTCGTCGTCGTCGTCGTCGTCGTCGTCGTCAGAGTCAGAGTCAGAGTCAGAATCGTCGTCGTCATCGTCTTCGTGCTTCAGGGTCAGCGGCACCGGCCGTAACGCCTTCGCAAAGTAAAAAACGAAACCAGCCGCGGTGGCTATTAGATGTGTCGCAAAATCAGCGGCAGAGCGCGGAAACCGTTGGGCCTGCGTCGCAAGATCAGACGGGCGACACAGGTGGGCGAGAGCCACAGCTGGCAAGTGGTCGGGAGGTGCTGTTCCTGGCGCAACGCCCTGCAGCGATGGAGTGGCGAAACGGCGGTGTGCCAGTGAGGGAGTGCCAGTGGGGTGGGGGAGCCCATGTGCCCCACCCGAATCGGCAAGGTTATGCCGACCCTCGGTGGCATCATCAATACACTGCAGTATTCCTCCTCGTCCTCGCTTTCCTCGTCCGCCTCTCGTCCTTTTCCTCGTTATCCTTTTCTCCTGCCCCTCCTTCTCCTGTCTCCTCCTCCTCCTCCCCCTCGCCCCCCTTCCCCTCATCCTACCAGCAATTCAGAATTACTGCAATGGGGGGCCGCATGAGTACCCAAAACGAATCGAAGATGAATGGCGATCGACGGCGACGACGGCATGTGCTGCCTCGGCCACCTGGAGGCTATCACATGGTCATTGGATCGTCTGGGGTTGCAGTAATCCGTTGCTCACAATGTGTACATACAACATGTGTGTTGGGCCACGTCGAGGTCGTGATGCTGCCATCCAAAATCCACGTAGGGATCGTGTAGGTAACATCGGGCCCAGAATGGGTCGCCATAAAGATATTGCCAATTCGCTTGGAGGCCATGTTGGAATCATCTTGGAGTCGCGAAATCGCAGTGTCATCGTGTTGGATCGTTTGGAGGTCTTGCGCGTTTCCATCGAATATTTTGTGGGTAAGCCCGTCCGCCCATGCGCAACTCCGTCTCGCTGTTGTCGCCGTGCTGCCATCTTTGCAGATGGAAAGCGGCGCAGCCTGTTCGCCCATTCGCAACTCCGTACGACAAGTTCATGTCGTGCCGACCCCAGCGTTGGTTCCTGACACTGCGGGGATCGTTCAACCTTGAACAATCGGCCCTTTCCGCAACGTCAGATCGTTCAACATTAAGCGACTCTGGGTCGCCAGCGGCGTTCAAAGTTGAACGCCGGCGGCGGGGTCGCCGCCGGTCGACACGACCTGAACCTACCGTATCCTTTACGCCGCCCTGCTGCGGTTTTCGGGACGAGAGATCAGCTGCGCATCGCCGCTGCGACAATTCTTTGGACGTTCTGCCGGTGGGCCCCATCGGGGGTGAAAGCCCATCGCCAAGACAGGGTGCCCCCAACTCCCGTGGGGTGTGGTGCACATCCCGCCACACGACGGCGCCTTGGGGTCCTGTCGGGGCCCCGTGGTTATCTGGCTCCTCTTACGTACGTGTTGGAGCCATGGGGCTGGCTCCTCAGGGCCGCCCGGTGGGTCATCGTGTCGTCCTTTGATCATGTCGGATTCGACCAGTTGATTACACCTACACACGAGGCAATCTTGAGGGTCGCCCTGCGGCCATCTAGGATCCATGTCGGGATCATGTGAGGATCACGGGGACCTAAATGGGGTCGCCATGACGGTATTGCTCGTCACTCTGAGGCCATGCTGGAGCCGTCGTGGGGTCGTGGAGCCGCGTTGACGTCGTCTTGGGTCTCTGGAGGTCGCTCGCGTTTCCAACGAAACGTGTGGCGGTCAAGTGGCGACACTCCCCTCTCCCGCCCTTTCTCACTCCACCTCGCACCCTTCGCTCTCTCCCTCCTCTCACCCACGTTCTCTCCCTCCTCGCCCCCATCCATCTCTCCCCCAATCCCCTCAGCGCACGCAGCGAGGGATGAGGGCCATGCCTCCTCCTGCTCCTCCTCCTCCTCTTCCTCTTCCTGCTCCTCCTGCTCCTCCTGCTCCTCCTCCTCCTCCATCTCCTCCCCTTCTGCTGCTGCGAGCAACCCCTGCGACTGCTGACCCTTCTCACTCCCACTGGGCGTCGCACGTCTATGTCGGTCGCCGGGAGAGCCCTCTGTTCGAGCGGGCCGTCCTGGACGTCGATTGGACCTCGGCTTCCGCACACTCTCCGAGCTCCCGCTGCGCTCTCCAACCCGGCCGTCCCTCCGTACCCCGTCCCTCCTTGGCCGGCCTCATTCGTCCCTGCTCCTTCTGATGACGCCTCGCTTTCGCACCACCAGACATGTCATAGGGCGGTTCAGGCGTTTCCCATGGGATCTCGCCACATGGAGAGGATGGAGAGAGGATGGAGGGCGGGCCGTTTTCAAATGTAGCTATCGCCTTGGCGCTGCGCGCACTCGTCTTACAGGTTTGCAGCACTTTGAGGGACGGAAGGCGGGTCGTTTTCAAAATGTGGCTCTCGCCTTGGCGCTGCGCACGTTCGTTTTTTTCTCATAAAGATCCCAGACGCGGTGTTCTGACACGATTTACGATTGTCAGGGCGCAAGAGTCACTTTGACCTGTGGTGAAGTGCCAGGGATGGCGTTCTGGCAGGAATTATGGTTGTCAGGGCGCAGCAGTCACCTTGATTCGTGGCGCTGGAATCCCAAGAATCGCGTGTTGGCACGGTTTAGAAATCTCAGACGGCTATCTTTCAACGGAACACTTCCCGCAATGAACATACATTCTCTTGTTGGGATTTATGAAGGGTGAACTTGGTGGGAGAGTTTACTGCAACAATGGTGACGCGTCTTGGGTTTACACTGGTCCTCTTCCTGATCCTCCTCTTCTTCCTCCTCCTACTTCTCCTCCTCCTCCTGCTGTTCATCTCCTTACGGATCACTCCCTGAATGGGACCCCCGCACTCCTGCTTGGCTCTCTGAGCGGCACGGAGTCACAGCCTGCTGGAGGAGCACGCGGCAGCACCAGCTTCACACTCCCACTGACTCCACCGACTCCCCAGAGGATCCCCAGGAACCGAGCGCGGCAAGTGCGGCGCAGGGGGGAGGCGGACTGCTCACCCATCCGTCCACTGTGCTGGGGATGCGAAAACCATGCAAACGAGACGGGGTGGGCACAAGGGCTGCCATGCGGCTTCTCGCACCGGGTCGAAATCAACCGGCGGCGCTTCCTGGTACGTAAGAGAGACCATCACAGGCCCTCGCACCCAAATGATGGACCATAATAGGCACTCGTACCCAAATTATTCAAGCTGGGACTCTCATGGACTTCATTGACCGGTTGTTTCATTCCATGCGTAGCATACTCTCTGCTCCTCCTCCTCCTGCTCCTCCTCCTCCTCCTCCTGCTCCTCCTCCTCCTCCTCCTGCTCCTGCTCCTGCTCCTCCTTCTCCTCCTCCTCCTCCTCCTCCTCCTCCAGCTCCACCTCCTCCTATTCCACCTCCAGCTCCACCTCCTCCTCCTCCTCATCCTCCTCCCTTCTCCTGGCTCCCCCCACTCCTCCCTCTCGTTCCTGCTCCACCAGGCGAGGATACAGCAATGGCGACCACGACGACGACGACGACGACGACGACGACGACGGAGGGGAAGGAGGCCCCCCACGAATGGGCTCAGAGAGACAATGCGCAGAAGGCACCGCTGTACCTTTTGCGCTCCTCGTGGAAACATTATTCCCCCTCTGCCTCACCGCAATGATACCACCTGCCAAAACAATGAGGCGCAGGAAACAGACTGTGGACGAGGACGAGTCTGCGACTCTGCGAAACGGGTCAGGTAAGCACGATGGAAATTCAAAGGGGAGCAGGGGGAGGAGGAAAAGGACGATTACGACGACGACGACGAGGGATGTGGAGGAAGAAGGTGACGAGCGAGGGAGACGAGGGGAAGAGGGAGAGGGAAGATGAGAAAGCATGAGAAAACTGACGATGGAGGAAGGGGGCGGGGGGCGGAGGAGGCGCAGGCGGAGGTGGGCGAGGAGGAGGAAGAACAAGAGAAGAGAGAGGGCGAAGGGGACCGCTTCCCCCCCCCTCCACCCAGCCCCGCCAAACCCCCCTTTAACCGACGGAAAACCCAAACCGACGGAACACGAACACCGACGGACACTCTGTCTCCACAAGGTGAACCCGGCGCGACGTAACAATAGAAGGCACCTGGGGCGGGGAACCTCCAGGCAACGGGCAACGCTAAGAATACGCGGCACCAACCTTTAACCAAGTAAGAACCCCTCAAACATAATCCCCCTGAACGGAAGAAAAACCCAAACTGACGGAAAACGAACACCGACGGTCACTCGGCCTTCACAAAAAACAAACTGGCGCCTGCGGCGCCTGCGGCGCCGCAGGCCGAGGGGGGCCGACTTACTACGCATCGTCTGGATTTGCAAGCCTACCCGACCAAGCCTGCCTAAACCGTCGGCATTGGTTTCTGATGCAGCGCGTGTCGTTCAACTTTGAATGATCTGGAGGGGAGGGTGACTTACTACGCATCGTCTGAATTTGCAAGCCTACCTGACCAAGCCTGCCTAAAACTGCGGCATTGGTCTCCGACACGCCGCGGGTCGTTCACCTCTGAACGAGCTGGGTCTTCCGAGAGCGCAGATCTCCTGATGTCGACTACTTCTGGGAACCAGCAGCTTTCAATCTTCAACGCCCGCACTGGGGTGAATGGCAACGATCGGGTTGGGACTGGCACAGGTGGGCTAACATCGACCTGGAATCGGCGATACAACGCCGATAGATCGGCGATAGGTCTCCAACGGCGCATCCGCACGCTCCTGGGCGGGTAGGGACTCTCTCAGAGCCCTATCGGCGATCAATGGGAGATTGGGGATCGATGCATCCCCCCCTATGCCCACAACCCTCCTCGAAATCAAACGCAAATTTATCCAACGACATGGCGACGGCAATTTCAGAATGACCCCTTGGGCCACGCTGCGCGCGTCCTTCAATGTCGAGATTCGGGGGAGGGGGGATCGGCTCAAAAACTGCGTTTGGTTTCGGGGCGGGTTGCATCCCCCCCTGCTGTTGCCCCTGATGGGGTCGCCCCCGCGTCGACACGGCACGAACAATTCGCCGGCCCAACGGGCCAGAGGCGTGCTAAGATCTCCGGTAACTGCTCAACAATAGTTCTAATTCGCGCGCGCGGGGCGGGCCCTGGGGGTCCCCGGACGAAAAGTACCCCGGCAAGGTCCCGGCAGACTCCCGGCAAGGTCCCTTGTCGGAGCCCAAGAGGGCTCGAAACGGTCCAAGAGAGGCCCGAGAAGCCCTCCAGACGGTCCAAGAGAGCCGGGAGACGCCGAAATATCACTCCCAAGCGCCTGCGATGGCCTCAAGACGGCCCAACAGGCCTTCAAAACGCCCCAAGAGGTCCCTAAGCGGCGTCCCAAGAGGGCTCCCGCAAGCAAAAATCGTCCCATTCCCTGGGGAAAACGTGCATTTTTAACATATCCGCCTCTTCGTTTTTCACACTTTTCAAGGCGGTCCAAGAGGCCCCCAAGATCACCCCAAGACGGCCCGAGACACCTTCTAGACAACTCAAAAACGGCCCAAGAGCGCTCCAAGAAGGCCCAATAAACCCCCAAAAACTCTTTTTCGGAGCCCAGGAGAGCTCCAAATCGGTCCAAGAGGAACCCGAAAAGTCCTCCAGACGGTCCAAGAGAGCCGGGAGACGCCGACATACCATCCCCAAGCGCCTGCGGTGGCCTCACAACGGCCCAACAGGCCTTCAAGACGCCCCAAGAGGTCCCGAAGCGGCGTCCCGAGAGGGCTCCCACACGCAAAAATCGGCGCATTCCCTTTGGAAAACGTGCATGTTTTACATATCCGCCTCTTCGTTTCTCACACCTTTCAAGGCGGTCCAAGAGGCCCCCAAGATCACCCCAAGACGGCCCGAGAGACCCTCAAGCCCGCTCAAAGACGGCCCAAGAGCGCTCCAAAAAGGCCCAATAAACCCTCAAGAACTCTGTTTCGGAGCCCAGGAGGGCTCCAACTCGGTCCAGGAGGGGCCCGAGAAGCTTTCCAGACGGTCCAAGAGAGCCGGGAGACGCCGGAATATCATTCCCAAACACCTACGGTGGACTCAAGACGGCAAGACGCCCCAAGAGGTCCCTACGAGGTCCCTGAGCGGCGCCTCAGGAGGGCTCCCACTAGCAAAAATCGTTCCATTCCCTTGGGAAAAACGTGCATTTTTAACATATCCGCCTCTTCGTCTTTCATACCTTTCAAGGCGGTCCAAAAGGCCCCCAAGATCACCCCAAGACGGCCCGAGACACCCTCTAGACAGCTCAAAGATGGCCCAAGAGCGCTCCAAAAAGGCCCAATAAACCCTCAAGACATTTTTTTCGGAGCCCAGGAGGGCTCCAAATCGGTCCAAAAGGAACCCGAGAAGCCCTCCAGACGGTCCAAGAGAGCCGGAAGACGCCGACATACCACCCCCAAGCGCCTACGATGGCCTCACGACGGCCCAACAGGCCTTCATGACGTCCCAAGAGGTCCCTAAGCGGCGTCCCGAGAGGGCTCCCACAAGCAAAGATCGGCGCATTCCCTTGGGAAAGCGCGCATTTTTTACATATCCGCCTCTTCGTTTCTCATACCTTTCAAGGCGGACTAAGAGGCCCCCAAGATCACCCCAAGACGGCCCGAGAGACTTTCAAGACCGCTCAAAGACGGCCCAAGAGCGCTCCAAGAAGGCCCAAGAAACCCTTAAGAAGGTCCAAGAGGCCCCAAGACGGCCCCACGATGGAGGTCCACAGGGGCAACCTGAACGGACATTTTGAGCCCCCCGCCCAAACGCGCCCCCGAAAGGCCCCTACAAGCCCCCAGGTCGCCCCACGAAGCCCCCAAGAGAGCCCCAAGAGGCCCCCAACAGGCTGCAGGAACGCCCCAAGAGGCCCCCAAGAGACCCCCAGGAAGCTCCCAGGAGGCCCCCAAGAGGCCAGGCAAACCCCCCAGAGAGACCACCAAGAGGGCCCACCCAGAGCCATCCACGAGGCCTCCCAAAGTTCCCAAGGAACTCCCACGAAGCTTCCAAGGGCTCCCTCCCAAGACCCCACGAGGCCTCCAAGAGCTCCCAAGAAGCTTCCCAGTGGCCTCCAAGGGCTCCCAAGAGGGTCACAAGTACTCCTCCTGAGAAGCTCCTTGATGCTCCCAGAAGAGACTCCCAGAAGCATCCATGAGCTCTCCGAGATGCCCCCTGCCCAGATCCCCAACACTCAGTTTTTCTCGCGTCCCTCACCCTTGGATCCTTCACTGCGTTTTCCTCCAATTTCGATTGGATGAGGATGAGCTTGGGATGGTCCTGGAAATGTGCGGGGGCTCTGGAGGTCAGCGTGAATTATGAGAGGTTGTCGGTTGCGTGTCTTCTGTAAGCACAACCAAGAATATGAATAATGGAAAGACCGCACATACATCACCGATCCCCAAACGGCCTACATGTGTATGCATTCGGCAACGTGTATGATGTGGGATGTCAAGCACGACTGGCCCCATCCTCCTCGAATTGGTCGGCCCCATCATCCTCCGTCTCCACCTCCTTTTATCCGTCCCTCCCTCCCTCATATCCCTGCCCCACCTCCCTCTCCTCCATTTTCTCCGATTCCTCCTCAGATGTCCTCCCAAAGTGAGGTGGGGCGGACCCCGAGTGGTGGGGGGGGCGACGGAAGAGAGGGACGCGACGGAGGAGAGGGGGGGAGGTGGGAGGGGAGAAGTACACGTCGAAAGTCTAACCTCGAGCCTCGAGGTTAGCCTTCGGGGGGCCTCTTCGTCGCCACGGCCGGGCAGCACGAAAAGCATCAACACCAGCAGCGGCGCCAGCATTAACAGCACCACCACCACAAACAGAAACAACGGCACCAGCAGCAGCGCCAGCAGCAGCACCAACAGCCCGAGAACCAACACCACCAGCACCAACGCCAGCAGCAACAACACCACCACCACCACCGCCGCAGCACTAGCAGCAGCAACAAAACGGCCTCCAAGACGGCCCAAGAGCGCTCCAGAACGCCCAAGATGGCCCCAGGACGGCCCGAGAGGCCTCAAATAGGCCCCAAGAGCGCTCCAAGCAGTCTCCCAGGAGGGCTGCAAGATGCACAAATCATTGATTTCCATTTGGTGTTTTCAATGGTTTTGGGGGTTCTCGCCTTTTCGAGCTCCCGGCGCTCCAAGATAGACCACGAGCCCTCAAAAACCACCCCTAGACGGCCCAGGAGGCCCCCAAGAGAACCCCAAGACGACCCCAGAGGGCTCCACAACGGCCCACGAGACGCCCGAACGGCCCAAGAGAGCCCCAAGATGGCCCCAAAGGGACCCAAGAGAGGGAACACGAACCGACAATTCGAGATTTCCGCCCCGAGCAGCCCCCATGAGGCCCCAAGAGGCCTGCATGAGACCCCGAGAAGCCTAAACAGAAGCCCCAAAACCCCCCCCGACGGCCCCCAAGAGCCCTCAAAACTGCCTCTCAAGAAACCCTCGAAAGGCCTGCCGCGATATCTCAACGAACATCCAAGAGGCCTCTGACCTACAACCCAGGCACGGTGGCGGGATGGGCCGAAAACCACTAGATAGCCACCTCGTAAGACAGTAGAGGCCGAAGCCCACATAACAAGCTCCAAACAAACTGTTTCATCCCCATGCGTTCTGCCGCAACTCCTCTGGAAAACGACCACGGCCCACCAGCGCCGCCTGGCTCGCGACCGCGCAAGCAAACGCCCGCGATGGCACAATACGGGCCGGCGGAGTGAGCGAAGCGATTCAATAATTCAGTTCCGCCCAGCCGTCTGAGAAAGTCGTCGTCGTCGTCGTCGCCGCCGTCGTCGTCGTCGTCGTCGTCGTCTGCGAGCGCCCCCCCGACCGCCTCCAGCCGCGGCCACGGAGGCGGGGCTGCCAGCTGCTGCGGTGCTGGGTGGGCCGCCCGGGCCTGTGGCGCCACCGGCGGCGGGGTGCGCCGTCGCCCAAAGGGGGGGGGGGAAGGGAAGGCCGCTTCCTCCGCATCCTCCTCCTTGTCCCGCCTTTCCCTCCGTCGTCTTGCCCTTCATCGCCTCCTCCTGCTCCTCATCGTCCTCATCGTCGTCCTCATCATCATCCCTGCCATCCTCATCTCAATATGCCTATTCATCCTCATCATCACCGGCAATGATGCGTCGTCCCCCTTCTTCCCCCCCGCCCTCTTCCTCCTCTTCCTCCTTCTACTGCTTTCTGTCCTAATCCGTGCCTTCCCCCTTCATTATCCCACTGCTGCTACATGCCCTACCTAAGATCGTGCCAGCTCGAACAATGGCGTTCACATGGAAGCCACAACACTGCGGCGGACGATGCACTCGTATGAACAATCACCACGATTTGGTTATGTGGTTCCGCATGGCTCATTTCTCGAGGACAACTATTTGACACGTATGTCGAAGCACACCCCGATTGATCATAATGCTCGAAGGACTTTTGTGATCCCACCTGCCCTCCAGGCGCAGATGGTCTAGCGCGTTTCCTCTTCCAACCCCCTGACTCCCCTTCGGGGGGCATCGATTTTTTTCTCAGTTTTTCCCGGTCCCCCACCTGGCAAGCCACTAACCCGAATCAATACCCGCACCACCTCATCACCCATTATCAAAACAACGCAGAAGCACGTTGCCGCAAAATGTTGGACCATGCGCGGGCGCCCCGCGATCATTGTGCCTTGTCATTTGGCAAGGATGTAGGGAATCGAACTCTATATACACTGACGCGTTTTCTGGCCCTGCATTAAAATTTGCACTGGAGAGCGGATCCTTGTGTATACGGGACCCTGGTGTATACATTTTTCGTTGTTTCCATGGAGCATCGAGGAAAAAGTATGCACCCCACCACCCCAGCGTCGTCCCCGAACCTCAAAAAGTCCTGGGATTGAAAAACAGCCCGCCACTGGCACTGTACATGTTCTAGTTTCCGAGGATGATGTGGGTACCCTGACACGCGCGGCACACCACGCGGGAGTTGCGCACCTGGCTGGCGTCTGCGTTGGTTCCCGATGTTTGTCGAAGGCGCCCCTGCCGATGCTGACGAGACTCGGGTTCTACCGGTGTTGCGGGATGGCGGGTGGGAGTGAGACGGCCGTCCTTGGGGGAAGGGGGAGCTTGACCCCCCCCCCTACCTCCTCCCCAGGGTCTGGCCAGGGGGGGGATCGGTCAAAGAACCCAAGACAGCTCAAGATGGCTAAAGAAAGCCGTCAGAGAGCCCAACATCTGCAAAATAGCTCAATATGGCGTTCAACACGCCTCCAAGAGGCCCCAGAACCACCTCAAGACGGTCTAAGTGGCCACGGAGCCTCACACAGAGGCCTCCCGAAGGAAAAAACCATTCCCGCAATCCAATCAAACTACTAATGAATATTGCAAGCAAGCTGCTACTTCGGCAGGACGAGAATCCCACCAGCCCTTTGGGCGTGAGTGGTTTAGCGAGCCCGCTCTGTTCTCAACCCCCCTTCTTCCCCTTCGGGGAGGGGTTTACCCCTCCCCCTACCCCCTCCCCCTGGGCCTGGAGAGGGCGCCCCGCGGGTCGTCAGGGGGGTCAATTTCGACTCCTGGGAGGCCTAAAAAACGACGACCCTCACGAGGATTCTGGCCCCGACGGGGGGCCGGAGAAAAAACCCTCTCCTCTTCTGCGAAGCCAAAAACATTGACTTTACTAGGGTTTTGGCCCCATTTTGGCCTTCTGAGGGGGCAGCGCTCCTCGTCCTTCATAGCAAAATCATGGATTTTACGAAAGTTTTGGGCTCATTTTGTCCTTCTCAGGGGGCAGCGCTCATTTTTGCTTCTGAGGAGGTCGCAAGAGGCCCCAAGATGGCCCCCAGAGGCCCCCAGGAGGCTCCCAAGAGGCCTCCAAGAGGCCCCCAAGAGGCCCCCAAGAGGCCCCAAGAGGCCCCCAAGAGGCCCCCAAGAGGCCCCAAGAGGCCCCAATAGGCCCCAAGAGGCCCCCAAGAGGCCCCCAAGAGGCCCCCAAGAGGCCCCCAAGAGGCCCCAAGAGGCCCCCAAGAGGCCCCACGAGGAGCCCGAACGACTCACACCAGGACGAGGGGCCCGAACGACTCACACCACGAAGAGCCCGAACGACTCACACCACAAGGAGGGGCCCGAACGACTCACACCAGGACGAGGCGCCCGAACGACTCACACCACGAGGAGCCCGAACGACTCACACCACGACGCGGGCCCCGAACGACTCACACCACGAGGAGCCCGAACGAGTCACACCAGGAGGAGGGGCCCGAACGACTCACACCAGGATGAGGGGCCCGAACAACTCACACCACGAGAAGCCCGAACGACTCACACCAGGACGAAGAGCCCGAACGACTCACACCACGAAGAGCCCGAACGACTCACACCAGGAAGAAGGGCCCGAACGACTCACACCAGGACGAGAAACCCCAAACGACTCAAATCACGAGGAGCGCTTTCTCTCCCTCCTCCTCCGCCTCGTCCTTCTCCCGCTCCCCCCACAAGGAGGATGTACAAGGAGGCGGGAGGAAGGAGGAACAGGGGAGATATGCGGGGCCAAGCGGACACACGCCTGAAAAACACGACTGTCGGCATGCTTCGCAAGAGTTGCTGCTGTGAGATGGGCTGGTGGGGATACGCGAAGCGTAAAGAATTTCGTCGGAAATGCGAACCCAACTCACCTGAAGCCGAAGTCGGGAATTCCCTGGGATAGTGGTTTCGAGTGTGAAAGCCAGTGGGATCATTGGAGACAGTGGGATAATCACTTCTTACGTAAAAGACAATCGGACCATTTCGGTCCCAGATCTAGGGTATATTATTAAGTACTGTAGAGGCCCAGGATCCCCGGGCTCGAATTATCCCGCCGATGCCAGAGGCCCGACAAGAAGCTCGCCTCGATAGGATTCTACGGGGGGGAAGAGGAGGCTGATGTCCTTTTGGTAAGTCCCAGGCCCGTTGAAATGTTGCATGAACTGTTGCCCCGCCACTGTATAATGAATAATTCGCCTTACAATGTCGTCTTTTCGCTTCCGATGGGCCTCCCCAATGCCCCGAGAAAAGAAGGCTCCACGATGACCCGAGAGAGCGCCAATAGGGGCCCAGGACGGCCCCAAGAGCTCACAAGAGCGCCTCCAGAGCAGCCCATGGGGGCCCCGAAGAAGCGACGTTTCGAGCCCAACAGGGGGTGACGCTAATCCGCTCCGCCTACTTCTTTGATCGAAGGCCTCGAAGATGACGCCAGGACGGCTCCCAAGGCCCCCAAGAGAGCCACACATGCATCCAAAATGGCCCGAAGAGGGCCCTGGCAAGCTGCCGCGAGAGCATTGATGACTGACTCCTGGGCCTGATCAAGCTGATCGCGAGCCTCGGTCAGACGGCTGCCCCCCATCCTTGTTCCACTGTTTGCTCATGGACTTCCCTGATCGAGGCAACTCGAAGGGGGATCAATTTTTACATGGGCTGATGGGGATACGCCAAGAGTCAATCCATCATAATTGATTGGCGGCGTTGAACTGGATGCCCATGTGCACCAACAAATCTAGGATAGGACTGGCTGGCAGGGCGTTTCTAGATGGCTAGCTCTCTCGTGCGGATGCGTTCAATGTGAAACACGCTGCAATGTTGGAGGTACCTTAGTGGCTTCGACAGCACGCGGGTGCACGGGACCTGGACGCTTGGGTTCCTACAGGTCCCATATCAAACACTGACTTCTAGAATGAGGTGGCGCCCCGCGGTGTGGGCTGTCGGTGAGGCCCCACGGTGACGGGGGCCAGTACGGCGCGCACGGCTGGCCAACCGTAATTGGTGGGTGTGTAGAGGTTAAGTGAAGATGGGATAGAGGAGCGATTCATAAGGGGATGGGCCCTCGGGTGGCGTAGGTGGCCTACGGCGACGACGGTCACGACAACGTTGTTACGCCACCGCGGGGGCCCACTGATGCGAGAGAGCCGGTAAGGGTTCAGGCTGGTGGCGAAGGTGGTCTTTGCTGGCTGAGCGTACGCAATCCAGTCTGGGCCCCTGTGCGTGCGACCAACGTAGTCGGATTTGGGGGGGATGAGATCGACGTGGAACGGAATCTCCCAGGCGTCGTGTGGCGCGCGTGTGGGCGAGGCGAAGCTGCGCGAGGGCGTGAGGTCTTGTTAGGGCGGCGTGCCATCATTTGTTGCTCGCCGTCGACGGGCGGTGAGTCCCCATTGTCTCGCGGTCCTCCCGTGGTCGTCCTGCGGTTGTCACGTGTCTGTCCCGCGGATGTTCAAAGGTTGCCCCATGATTGCCCAATAATTGCCCAATGGTTGTCCCGTTGTTGTTCCGCGGTTTTCATGCGATTATCCTGCAATTGCCCCGACGTTGTTCTGTGGTTGTCCTTCGGTTGCCTGATAGACGCCACTTGCGAGATCCCTGTCTCGCTATGTAACGTTAACATAACACCTTCGTACACCAACCTACATACATGTATATATATATATATATACATACATACATACATACATACATACATACATACATACATACATACATATATAGAGACATATGGTGGTAGCATTGTGTGTCCATGAATGTGTGCATGTGCCTGTATATGTATATGAATACGCAAATGGATTGGTACATGTATGTGTTTGTGGGTGTGACTATGTACGTGTATCGATATAGGCTTCTGCATATGCTTATGGATGTGTGTATGAATGTGTGGGTATAACCATGTTTGTGTGCATGAATGTATGTATGTATGCCTACACGCATGCATGTATGTATGTGTATGCATGTAGGTATGTCTGTAAGTATGTAAGTATATGGGTATGTATATGTGTATGGTTGTGTGTATGTGTATGTGTACGTGTGTGTATGTATATATGTATGTATGTCTGTTTGTTTGTATGTATGTATGTAAGTTTATTCCGATTTGAAAGGCACGGCGCCGCGCGAATGTAGCGCAAACGCTATGCTGGAAGGGCGCGGCAACGCATGCCCCCTGGACAGGCGAGAACTCCGCGCCCCCGTGCGAACCCCGATCCCCCGCGGGGCGCGCTCCCGTTGACAATGGTTCACCCGGGAAACCGATTCTTGTGCAGGAAGTCCTGAACGGTCTGCCCATCGGCGGCTCCTTCGGACGAGGCCCGGAACCATCGAGAAATCGTTTTTGATAGGAAATTCTCAGCGGTTTGCCCATGTTCGGTTTCTTCGGAGTGGGCCCGAAGACCTCGAGAACGATGTTTTTGCAAGAAGTCCTAAGCGGTTCGCACATTTTCGGGTCGTTCGAACCGGACCAGAAATTTTTGTTTGCACGAGTCCTATGGAATTTGGTCACTTTCAGGTCGGCCGGTAAACTTTTCGGGTCGTCGCATGACCGAAACCGAAAGCTTTTTTCGAGGAAGTCCTATGCCGTTTGCACATTTTCGGGTCATCACACCGCTGGGATTTAAAAATTTGAACTGCGAATGGGAACCCGATCCCGCGACCCTGGGTGGGGGTTAGGGTCTGCCCTTGCATTGTACTGGGCCCCTCCGGTCAAGCGCGGTGCTGGGCTGCCCCTCGGCGCGCCGACTCTGCCCTCGCGACATCGCCCCCATCCGCCCTCGGGCCCCGCGAGTGTTATCCTGCGCGCGCCACCCCAGAGGGCCGCGGCGAGCACGGTGGCGAAATTGTGGGAACTTTCGGATCGGCGCAGTATGTGTGTATTTATGTCTGTACGTATGTATGTATGTATGTATGTATGTATGTGTGTGTGTATGTGTGTATGTGAATATGTGCATGTGTGTATGTATGTATGTATGCATGTATGTCTGTACGTACGTACGTACGTACGTATGTATGTATGTATGTATGAATGTATGTATGTATGTATATGTGTATATATATATGTATGTATGCATGCATGTATGTATGTATGCATGTATATATGTCTGTATGTCTGCATGTGTTTATGTGTGTAGGCTTGCATGTTTGTGTGCATACATATATGCATGTATGTATGCATATGTTTACACGTGTATGTAGGTATGTATGCGTTTTTGTAGGTATGTGCATGTATGTATGCACGTATATATGCTTGTGTGTATGTATACATGCACGTATGTATGTATGCATGCATGCATGCATGCATGCATGCATGTCTGTATGTATGTATGTATGCATGTATGTATGTATGCATGTATGCATGTACGTGTGTACGCATGCATGCATGCATGCATGCATGCATGTATGTCTGTACGTACGTACGTACGTACGTACGTACGTATGTATGTATGTATGTATGTGTGTATGTATGTTCATGTACGTATGTCTGTTCATGAACGTATGTATGGACATGCATGAATGTGTATGACACGTGTACATAAAAAAGACTGCATTGGCGTTTCGAGCCATGCACCTTGGTTCTTCACGTACAACATGCAGGCAGAACAAGAGAGAGGTAGATCAACCCAAATGGCGAACACTGTTGGTTGGGCACCTCGCTCTGGCCTTCATTGCCCCGCGAACTCCCCGTCCTCCTCAGATTTGCGGAGGCTCCTCAGAGGCGAGCTTCTAGAGGACCTCGCGAAAATGTTTAGAGACTTCTTGGATACCTCTGGAGACGTCCCTGGCTCCTTTAGGCGGTCTCTGGGGGATTCTCGGGCCACCATGCCGCGAATCGTGGTCTTGGGTCACAATTTGAATGCTTCTGGAGGGCGCCTTGAGGCCCTTTTGGGAAGTTCTGGAGGCCTCTTGGGCTGTCTTGGGGCCCGTTGGGGCCGTCTTGGGGCTGTTTCGGCGGTTTCTTGGGCGGTCTTGGGGCGATCTTGGGGGCCTCTTAGGCTGTCCTGGAGCGTCGGGAAGCCGAAAAGGCGAGACCCAAAGAAACCTTCAAAATCTTCGAACAAAACAACCATTGTTGCCTCTTGGGGCCCTCTTGGAAAGCCTCATGGACGCCTCTTGGGGCGTCTTGAAGGCGTCTTGGGCCATATTGGGACAATCTTGAGCGTCGTGGAGCGATCTTTGCGCGTTTCCTGGGGGCCTCATGGGGGCCTCTTGGACTATCGGGGGGGTCTCCTGGGGCCGTCTGGGAGGCCTCTTGGGCCGTCTTGAGGCCACTTCGAGGCGCCGTGGAGGGGGTCTGGGGTTCGCGTGCGGGTGCCTGGGGGGGAGGGACGGTGACATGATGTCTTGTTCCTTGCAATGTCATAGGTGGAAGGAATACTGGTATTTAGGGATGGGCGTTTTTTCCGAACACGTCGGGAGCAAGGCCCAGAAGCAAGGAACACGGAGCAGGGAGGATGGGCGCTGTCCCGCTCCGCAGACCACGGATCTCCCCGTCTGCGACATCCAGAAGAGTGGTGCGCGCCTGTTGGCCCCGCCGGTCCCCGCGGCCGGTCCCCTCCTCTTCCTTCTCCTGCTCCTGCTCCTCCTCCTCCTCCTCCTCCTCCTCCTCCTCCTCCCACCTCCTTCTCCTCCTCCTCCTCCTCCTCCTACTCCTCCTACTCCTCCTCCTCCCTATCCTCCTCCTCTCCTCTCCCTCCTCCGCCTCCTCTCCCACCTCCTCCTCCTCCTCCTCCTCCTCATCATCATCCTCCTCCTCGTCCTCCTCCTACCTCCTCCGCCTCTTTCCCCCCCCGCGGCCGCCCTGTCCGCCCTCTTTCTTCTCCCGCATGCTGGCCGATTCGCTTTTCGGTGCCCCCGCTTTGCTCCATCGCTGGTGCAGCCATTCTGCCTCGCCGCCGCCGACAAAAGTGGCGCGCGCCTGTTCCGATGATGAGCATGGGCATCATGATGCCAACCGAGGTGGGAAAATCCTTCTGTATCTGAAGCGCCGTGTTCCACTCCTGGGACAGGACCAATCCGCATCGAATCGGGGCACCGGATCGAATCGGAATGTGCGTCGGGTCGGACCACATCGGCACGGAGTCGACATCAAATCGGATCGGCTGCACCAGGATGCACGATAGCGCCATGGAAGCATCAAAGAGATCGAAATCGACTCGGATCGAACTGTCCGAAACCGACATCGAGCCGGGTCGATCGGATCGAGGCGGGCCCTGTGAGGTCACACACACACAATGACCCGCGCCGAACGCTGCTCGGAGATGACTGGCTCGGGGTGCCTCGGAAGCCACACGATCCGAAGTGACAGAGGCCGTCTCCACGCCTTCTCCAAAGACCTGGCGGCGCCGTGCCATCCGCAACGCGAATAGTTCGAGGAATGCTTCTCTGGTTTCGTCGTCGTCGTCGTTGTCGTCGTCCCCCTTCAGGGTCGGCGGCACCGGCCGTAAGTCCTTCGCAATGGTTCGAGGAATGCCTCTCTGGCTTGCGTGGACCCCACCCCAGGTACCGAGTCTCCTCTACATTCGGGCCTAGGACAAAAGAAAATCCTTCAAGAACACGAGGCCCTCCGCCGGCCAAAACACACAGCACGTACAAGGGTAACCTTCCCGGGATGCACACGAGCATCCAACAAACACGAAGAACATGAGGGTACCCTCCCCGAACCGACCTCGATCTCATGCCTCGGTCCGACAATACTTTCGACCAGGTCGAGCCTCGAGCTCGACCATCTGGGCTTGAAGCAACCAGAGCGCGCGGCCGCAGTGCTTCATCGCTGTGCGCGTGGGCGTGGACTTCGCGGTCCTCTTCGCAGCCCCTGCGGGGGTTATGTGGACGAGGCCCGGTGCATCAACAGATGTGTTCCTGCTCCTCCTCCTCCTCCTCCTCCTCCTCCTCCTCCTCCTCCTCCTCCTCTCCTCCCGCTCCTCCTCCTCCCGCTCCTCCTCCTCCCACTCCTCCTCCTCCTTCTCCTCCTCCTCCTCCTCCTCCTCCTCCTCGCGTCATCACCATTACCATCATCATCATCATCATCATCATCATCATCATCATCATCATCATCATCATCATCATCATCATCATCATCATCATCATCATCATCATCATCATCATCATCATCATCATCATCATGGTCATCATCATCATCCTCATCCTCATCCTCATCCTCATCCTCATCCTCATCCTCATCCTCATCCTCATCCTCATCCTCATCCTCATCATCTCATCATCATCATCATCATCATCATCATCATCATCATCATCATCATCATCATCATCATCATCAGAATCGCCGTCCTCGAATCCGCGCTCTTTCTTCCGAACTAACTCTTTCTCCATGAGGGTAGCCCAGATATCAAACTCGAGCCCAGCAACGAAGCAGACCGAGGAAGCTGCTTCCGAGCCAACAAGAATGAACCCTCCCTCGGAACGGCGCGAAGAATCGAAGCGCGGGGAAGTCCGTATCCGTTTAGGTCTGGCGCAAGCCATAGACCGAAGCGATAGGGGGCATTCGTCTACTGATCAAGGGCAAGCCGAGGGAGGCACATGGCCCCTTTTATACTGGCCAGCATGCACCAACATCGGCACATTCGCGGTGAGCTGCTGGCAAAGGGCCTATTACAACTACACTCGGCCGCGGTCGAAGCCCCGCATCGTTTGCGGGCCGCGCGGAAAAAGGCACCACCTCACCATGGCCGAGTCCGAAGTCTTCTGCTCCCCTTCCGCCTCTGTGGCCAGCCGCTCGCCGTCCCCAGCAGGGAAGACTCGCGAAGTGGCGGTGACCAGTCTGGCACAACTAAGCCCGACCACGGCATCTATCTGTGGACCACCGTCGTCCTCGACGCAATTACGGACATCCAGGCGGTCGCTGGAATCGAAACTGTCGAAGTCGTGTGAAGGCTGGTGCGCCGTCAGAAAGGCAACCCAACCATGACCAGGTTGTTGGAGGCGCGCAGGCTCGAAAAACGGAAAGTCGACCTCCAGGAGTCGCTGGTCAGGCTCGAGGCGGAGCTTTCGAAGTCAAAGACGGAACTCCCCGAGACCACTAAAACTCACCACACCATCTCCGAACGCGCGACAGCATGCATGCACTGGCCAATGCTAGTCACAACGACCTGGCGCTTTTCCTTGTGCCCCCGATCCGATGGACGAGAATATCGAGGTGGTGACGGAATGAACACCAGTATTCTAAGAGTACCGCTCTTAAGCAATACCTTGAGAGGCTCGAGGGCGCAGCCGGGGAAGCTACCCAAAGGTAGCCTCGTCGCAGCCGCCAGGAGGCACAAGAGGAGGAAGGGGAGGAGCAGGAGCAATAGCGGCGCGGAGAGCATGGACACGAGGAGGTTGAGGCGGAGGAGGAGATCGCACATGATACCTGCTTTGCAAGATGAGGGATTCAGGTCCTCGCGGTCCCGGGGGATCCCGAGCTCGTAGCCGTGCCCCATCTTGAACTTGAACTCTAAGATACTGAAGTTCTTGCTCATCCTGAGACAAGCTACCCTTGCACCAGAAGAGCTACCCCTCCAACTCCTGCTCCAACTCCTTCTCCTCTCAGCCCCATGTAGCAGGGAAGGGGACAAACAGTTTCAACATTATGAGACGACCTTCTGCGGCAGCGGAAGAACTCCTCCTCCTCCTCCTCCTCCTACTACATCTATATGGCCCTTCTCCTCTCATCCTCATGCAGAAGGGAATGGGAGGAAGAGCTTCACACATTAATATAAAGCAGTGTTTATACATATATCTGTATATACACATAGAGAGAGAACACATAACAACAATAAAAAAGAGAGCTCGTCCAAATATCAAAGGGGCGCAAGAGTCCAAACTGACAAGGAGCTACTTCGGCCTGTGAGGCAGGCACCCGAGCTACCAGCTGGCGTGACCGCCCTAAAAACACCTCCAGCGAAAGAGGAGCCACCACCCAAAAGTGCTGGTACTGACGGAGGGGCGGACATTTGCGCTGAGCTTCGACTGCCAAAGCTCTGAAGAACTGATGCCGCCGGATCGTTTTCGCAACGATGGCCCGCAGCCGCCAATCCTCCGGGTCGACTGGTCGTTGCACCACGGAGCCACGATGCCGCAGTGTCTCCGCTTGGATCTACAGCGGCCGGCGACTGTGCACTGGGCGCCTGTGCAGGTGCCACCTGGGTCTGTCAACAGGGAAGCGGCCACGAAAAGGAATGTTGTTCGGCAGGCCAGGCTGGGTGGAGCGCAGGCGAAGCAAATGGAGAGAGGAGTGCAGCTCCAAGCTGGCGCCATCAAGACTACGCACATGTGGCCAACCCAATGGTCTCTGGAGTTTGGCCCCTCCAGAAATAAGCCGGAATGAGCGGCGTTCCCCCCTCCCTCCCCTCCCAACCCTCCTACCCTCACCCCTTCTAATCGGCCCTCATCCCCACCCAAGGCCTCTATCACTACCATTCCCTCTCTGAGCCTCCTCTCCTCTCATCCCCCTGCACCTCCCAAAAGCTCTGCGGCAAGTTCTCCCGTCCCGAACTTCCCCCTCCGCCTCGCTCCCTCCCCACCCAACCCCTCCCGCCCAGCTCCTATTGGCAACGTCCCATCCCTCCTCCTCCCCTGCCTCCCCTCTCATCCACCTCGTGCTCCTCCTCCTCCTCCTCGTCCTCCTCGTCCTCCTCCTCCTCCTCCTCCTCCTCCTCGTCCCCCTCCTCCCCCCCTCCCCCCCCCCTCCTCCTCCTCCCTCCTCCTCCTCCTCCCTCCTCCTCCTCCTCCTCCCCTCCTCCTCCCTCCTCCTTCCTCCTCCCCTCCTCTCTCCTCCTCCTCGTCCTCCTCCTCGTCCTCCTCTCCTCCTCCTCCCTCCTCCTCCTCCTCCTCCTCCTCCTCCTCCCCTCTCATCATCCTCGTCGTCCACTCCTCCCGCCTCCCCTCTCATCCTCCTCCCCTCCTCCCACCTCCTCCCGCCTCTCCTCGACCCGCCTCCTCCCGGCCGCCTCCCGCCTCCGACCCTTCACGGCTGCGCATTCGGGTATAATCTCGGAACTGCCCCGAGGTCGTCCAGAACTGATCGGATGGTGCCGAAGTACAGTGGAGGCCAGTCCACAAGAAACATCCCACAAGAAACCCTACCTGAGACCCCAGGACGTCCATTGATTTTTGATGTGGGAACGTCACGCTTTTCATAGCAGAACAATCGAAGCCCAAGAAAGCCAGGGCACCCTGGAGGCAAGCAGGGTGTTTCTTGGAATGGGTCTCCATTGTAGGTAACACCATCCAGGGGAGGGGGGTCCTTATCACATGGTTGGACAAAAGAGTATACGCCGCGCATGGGGGATCATCCGCCGCCAGTCCATACCAGACCGGCTGCCAGACGGAAAGCAGAAGACCTGGAATGGTCAGGTTCTGCGAGCGCGGGTCAAAGATCCTTCTCTCTCTTCTGCCCATTGCACCGCGCCGTCTCAACACCCTGTTGCCCAGCGCATCCCTCTTGCTCATGCTCTCCCCCAGCGCCCTTCAGATTCCTGAGCGTCAGCGGCATCATCAGGCCATACACCAGTACAAATACGAGAAGGTTGACCTGGTGATGACTCTGCTTCCTAGAATTATACCACACCTCCCCGATCTGATCAGGTGAATCGAAGAGGAGGCGCAACTGCCGGGCGATAAATACAAAAGGTAGCACGAATCAAAACGAAGAGAAAATGCGAGACGGGATGCAGACATCTGTAAGAAGACTGCATTCGGCGGAACGCTGGTCCGTGGATAGAGGATGGATGAATGATGATGATGATGATGATGATGATGATGATGATGATGATGATGATGATGATGATGATGATGATGATGATGCTGATGATGATGATGCTGATGCTGATGCTGATGCTGCTGCTGATGATGATGATGATGATGATGATGATCATGATGATGATGATGATGATGATGATGATGATGATGACAATGAAGGAGGACGAGGAAAGATGAAATGAGGAACAAGGATGGAGGAGAGAGGAAACAAGGAGGGCGAAGCGATGACACAGAGAGAATCGAGGGGGAGGAGGGAGAGAGCGAGAGAGAGAGAGAGAGAGTTGTTGCTAGAGATCGCATCCATGCTGAGCTCAAGAAGTATCTTTGCAGGGTCAGCAGATAGGACAGAAAGAGACCGCCGATCAAGCTGGGCTAGACCAGCAAAGGGCGAGCGGGGTCCAGGAGGGTGAATGGGGCTTTCTTCCTCTGTGCCACCCGCCCTGATCCGTCCAAGACGGCAACCTACGCGCAGACGCAGCCACACACACACACACGGAAACAATTACACGAACAAACGAATGGATGAATGAAGCGGACGAAGGATGGGCAGGCGAACAGGAAGGACGGACAGGACGGAGCAGATGGGACAGCAGAGACAGATAAGACGGAGGGCACTATGACTAATAATAACAACGCCAACACATTTATTTATCCTGGCGACGGACCCGACCATATGCAGTTGTGGGCACCGCAATTGTGAATATGTTCTTCGGTGGAGCTCCCTATGGGGCCACGAAGCACTGGGGAACGCATGCGGGCGGTAGAACTGGGGCCGTCGGACGAACTCCCTATGGGGCCACGAAGCGTTGTACTGGGTGGGGTGAAAATGCCAAATTTGGTGTGTGGGACGCATGCGGGCGGTCCCACTGGTGGCTTCGGTGGAGCCCCCTATGGAGCCATGAAACGTGTGAGGGGTGTGCCACATTTGGTTTCCAGGACGCATGCGGACGGTCCCACTGGGGGCTTCGGTAGAGCTCCCTATGGGGCCACGAAGCGCTGCACTGGGCAGGGGGAACGCATGCGGGCGGTTGAACTGGGGCCGTCGGGCGAACTCCCTATGGGGCCACGAAACGCCGTGCTGGGTGGGGAGAAAATGCAAAACCTGGAGTGTGGGACGCATGCGGTCTGTGCCAGTGGTGGCTTCGGTGGAGCTCCCTAGGGGGCCACGAAACGTATGAGGGGTGTGCCAAATTTGGTTTCCGGGACGCATGCCGACGGTCCCACTGGGGGCTTCGGCGGAGCTCCCCATGGGGCCACGAAGCGTTGTACTGGGTGGGTGAAACTGCCAAATTGGGCTTCCGAGACGCATGCGGACGGTCCCACTGGGGGCTTCGGTGGAGCTCTCTCTACGGGGTCACGAAACGCCGTAGTGGGTGGTGTGAAAATGCCCAAAATTGTGTTTCAGGGACGCATGTGGACAGTCCAACTGGGGGCTTCGGTGGGGCTCTTTATGGGGCCACGAAACGCCGTACTGGGTGGGGTGAAAATGCCAAATTAGATTTCCGGGACGCATGCGGATAGTCCCAGGGGCTTCGGTGGGGCTCTCTATGGGGCCGCGAAGCGCTGTACAGGGGGGGGGGGGACGCATGCGGACGGTAGCACTGGGACCTTCGGTGGGGCTCCCTATGGGGCCACGAAACGCTGTACTGGGCGTGGGGGACGCATGCGAACGGTAGCACTGGGACCTTCGGCGGGGCTCCCTGCGGGGCTACGGAACGCTGTACTGGGCGTGGGGGACGCATGCGGACGGTAGCACTGGGACCTTCGGTGAGGCTCCCTATGGGGCCACGAAGCGCTGTACTGGGTGGGGGGGACGCATGCGGACGGAAGCACTGGGACCTTCGGTGGGGCTTCCTATGGGGCCACGAAGCGCTGTACTGGGTGGGGGGACGCATTAGCACTACGCCGGTGGGGGATGCGGGCTTATGGGGGCCACGAAGCGCTGTACTGGGTGGGGGGACGCATGCGGTAGCAACTATGGGGCCACGAAGCGCTGTACTGGGTGGGGGGGGACGCATGCGGACGGTAGCACTGGGACCTTCGGTGGGGCTCCCTATGGGGCCACGAAACGCTGTACTGGGTGGGGGGGACGCATGCGGACGGTAGCACTGGGACCTTCGGTGGGGCTCCCTATGGGGCCACGAACGCTGTACTGGGTGGGGGGGACGCATGCGGACGGTAGCACTGGGACCTTCGGTGGGGCTCCCTATGGGGCCACGAAACGCTGTACTGGGTGGGGGGGACGCATGCGGACGGTAGCACTGGGACCTTCGGTGGGGCTCCCTATGGGGCCACGAAGCGCTGTACTGGGTGGGGGGGACGCATGCGGACGGTAGCACTGGGACCTTCGGTGGGGCTCCCTATAGGGCCAAGAAACGTGTGAGGGGTATGCTGAAACAGGTGATGATGATGCTGCTGCTGATGATGATGATGACGATGATGATAATAATGATGATGATGATTTGATGACGATGACGATGACGATGACGATGACGATGATGATGATGATGATGATGATGATGATGATGATGATGATGATGATGATGATGATAATGGTGATGGAGGAGGGAGAAGGGGGAGGAGGAGAGGAGAGGAGGAGGAACGCGGGGCGACGTCTCTTCAAAACGAGGACCCAACACGAGAAAATGGTTGGGAAAAACGACTGACCAGAAATCGGGCAAACCGGACTGGCGTGACTTGCAGGACTGACGGTGCAGAAAACAGGACTGACAGTGCAGATGGCCGGGCACTCATGCACGGGCACCTGCTGCCGACGGGCGACGCCCGAGCGGGCCGCGATGAGGAAAAACCGTACAGTGGAGGCCAGTCCACAAGAAACCTTCCACAAGAAACCCAACCCTGAGACCCCAGGACGTCCATGGAGTTCTGGTGTGGGAACGCCGCGCTTTCCATCGCCAAACCCTCGAAACCCAAGAAACCAAGGGCACCCTGGAGGTGAGCAGGGTGTTTCTTGGCATGGGTCTCCACTGTAGGTGACACCATCCAGGGGAAGGGGGTCCTTAGCACATGGCAGGACAACAGAGTATACGCCGCGCATGGGGGGGGACCCTCCGCCGCCAGCCCATACCAGACCGGCTGCTGGACGGAAAGCAGAAGACCTGAAATGGTCAGATTCTGCGGGCGTGGGTCAAAGATCCTCCTCTCTCTTCTGCCCATTGCACCGCGTCGTCTCAACACCCCGTTGCCCAGCGCATCCCTCTTGCTCATGCTCTCCCCCAGCGCCATTCACATTCCTGAGCGTCAGCAGCATCAACAGGCCATACACCAGTACACATACGAGAAGGTTGACCTGGTGATGACTCTGCTTTCTAGAACTGTACCACAGCTCCCCGATCTGGCATGGGCCTCCTTTCTCTTGGCATGGGCCTCCACCGTAACCGTAACCTGCAGCGGCACGCGAGCATCGCCTCAGGGCCGAAGCGCCACGCCGGGGGGGGGGGAACGAGCGAGCGACCACCAGTGCGGACAGCCGTCCGGCCGGGCCTATCCAAGACCAGGTATAGGAGGCCGTGGCCTCAGGAATCATCTATCGATACGTACACACACATATATACATATATATATATATATATATATATGTGTATAGATATATACCGTGCCGCGCGGAGCACCTCAAGAGCTTTCGAGAACTGAGAGGGGGAGTGGAGGAGAGGGGGTCCTGTCCTCGATGTGGGAGGGCCAGCGAGGTGAAGCTGCGGCGAGAGCAGTGAGCCGGGCGGCTGCAGGAGGAGGAGGGGGAGGGGGAGGGGGAGGGGGAGGGGGATGAGGAGGAGGAGGGGGAGGGGGAGGGGGATGATGAGGAGGAATGAGGAGGAGGAGGAGGAAGCGGGATGAGGAGGAGGAGGAGGTGGAGGAGGACGAGAAGGAGGAGGAGGAGCGCCGCCTCGCCCGGGCACCAGGCGGGGCCGCGAGCGCGCCGCGGGGTGCGCCGCGGGCGGGCATGCCCTGGACCCACTGCAGCAGGCGCCGAGGTCCAGGCCTGGGAAGCGCGAGGGCGATGCGTGTTCGCAGGCAGCCAAGCAATCAAAAGGCGGCGCGTCAGACCACCGAGTGGCGGCGCTGGCGGGGCACTCCCTGAGGGTGGGCCCACGCTTCAGGTGGGGAGCTGGATGCCACGGGAGGCCACCGCGCGGGCTGCAGGACACAAGGGCGTGGCCGATGACCGATGACGCCAACCGGACATCCAGCACCGCAGCGATCCGTGGGCGAAAGGGCTCTAGGCTCTAGGGAAGGCCGAACGCCGAGGCCTGAGACCTGGGCGGCAGTCGTGCTGCGGCTGCAGCAGGTGGACGGCCAAAGCTTCCTCAGCTGATGGGGTCGGTCACGGCCTAGGTCGTAACCGACGAGCTGACTCTTGGCGAAGATTGACTCCGTTGCTGACGGGTCTTCGACTGCCTGGTCGCTCGCTCCATGTTCATGTCGGCGGGGTCAGTTATCTCCACATCAGCTGCAGCCTGGCAGAGTGAACGCGACATGCCAACGCTCAGCGGGTGTCGTCGAAGGAATTGCGCTGAGGATGAGGCTCACTTGATCTGCTGGCCTAAGCAGACAAGCCTCACAACGCACGCCGCGGCTGGAACCGGGGGAGGCGTGGGAATTCGCCGGGCTCGACGCGGGCATGGGGGCGTGCGCGATCCCGGCAGGCCGGACGCGATCGGCCATCGTCCGACACAGCCAAGGGTCGGGGACCGGGCGCCAGCCTGCAGCAAGGGCGCTGGCAGCCGCTGCAGAGGCGGCGGACACTGTATCGTGCGGTGGTCGCTCGGGGGCTCGGGGGCGAGCGTGTGGCACGCGGAGGGAAGAGCTGCCATGCCGTCCAGGCTCGGCGCGGCCAGCAGAGGCGCCCTGGCGGGCGGCGACCAGATCGTGCGCCTGGTGAGGGCGCCGTCCGTGTCCGCGTCCGCTGGCTTGGGCGCCAGGTCTGGACCCCAACGCTGTTTTTCGTTATGTTTTCGCTTTGCTCTGCCTGTTTTCCTGCACCTCCCTCCCAAAGCGAAAATCAAAGCACAGCCGAAGTCCAGCAAAACGACGTTTGGGTCCAGCCCTGATGGGCGCTCCCGAGACACGACGGGCCTCCCGGATCACGCGGCCGCGGTCGAGCGTGCAATGCGCGATGCGCGCCTCGAGCACTTCCTGGACCAGCCCGCGTGCCGACCCCGCAGAGCCGGGGCGTCCGCTGGCGCGGGGCTATCCTGCCAGCGGGGCGCAGCGCTCCGTGGCGCGGAGCACGAGAGAACAGCTCACACCCGTGCCCAGAGGGGGGGGGGGTCGTTGGGAGGAGGACCGGCTGTGGGTGTGGGTGCGGGCTGTCGGACCCTGGGGAACGCTCCCCCATCCGACAACACGCACCCATAGCCCTCTCCGACCCCCCCCCATTGGGTATGGGTGTGTGCTGTTGGTTCGTCAGAACAGGGCGGCCCGCCCTGTGGCTGGAATGCACGGGGGGGGGGGCCTGCTGCAGCGACCCAAGAGCGGGGAGGGGTCGCGGAAGGTGACGGCTGCTGGAAGGGAGCGCCAACTGAGGGTAGAAAATCCACCCCCATAATGATCACCCCGACACGTGAAGCCGTTTAGCAAACGCACCCACAGAAGAAACCGAACAGGGCAGGGCTGTTTAGTAGTAAAAGCCCACGGCCGTTCAGTGGAACGGGTCTGGATGGTTTTCCCTCCCCTGAACCAAATCAAGTCAAGTCAAGAAGCCATACGCCCACTAACGCGTGAGCAGAACAACGCCTTGCCCTGTACACCGACGCAGAAAGAGCGGAGCGCCTCGCGACTGCGGAGCAGAAGGAGCACAAAGCGGAGATAGGCGGAGTACGACTGTGAAGCAGAGGATGCACGAGCCACGGGGCGTCACGGCGCCACGGGGCGTCACGCCACGGGCGGCGCCAAAGCAACACCAGGCGTCGATCGATTCCCGCTTCGGGAGCGTCTAACCTGGCGGGAGCGTCTGACCTGCCAGGCGCGCTCGATTCTGTCGGCAGCGCCAGCCTCACCACGTGCACGCAGGCACGCGGCAGGCACCCAGGCAGGCAAGCAAGCAGACGGACAGGCGGACCGACAGACGGTGGCCGCGCTGGCAGCGCCAACGTTAGCAGCCGCGGTTGAAATACGGGACACACTTGGATACGCATGGGAGGATCCGCCCCCCCCCCCGGGGGCGCTAAGCTGTGGGAGGTAATTGCTGCGCTGCCAAACTTGTCGCGGGTGGGCCGCGGAGGGTCGCGGGGTGGGTCGCCGGTGGGTCGCGGGGTAAACCGCGGATGGGTCGCGGGGTGGGTTGCGGGGTGGGTCGCGGGGTGGGCCGCGGGGTGGGTGGCGGGGCGAGTCACGGGCAAGGACGACGACAACGACAACGCGACAACAATCCTCATCCTCACCGCGGAACCCCAGTTCAGCCGCGCGCCGTCCTCTCCAGTCCTCTCCTTCTTGACTGTCAACGAGGGGGCCGCGGCGTCTGGAGAAGCCACCAAGGGAGGGGGACCCTCAAATTCCTGGGCGCTCTAGGCTGCCTCAGAAATCCCATAGGGATGCCACCGCGTAGCCAGGAGGGCCCATGAGGCCTCGCAGACGGACCCAAGAGGCCCCGAAGAGAGCTTCAAACGCCGAAAACAGCCCAAGAGAGCTCCAGACGTTCAAAAATGGTCTCAGTCTCAAGGTTGTCTTTGAGGGCCCCCAGATGCCCCAATCTTTCGGCGGTGGACAAACCTCCCTTTAGTAAACCTCCCCGTAGTGACATCGGCCTGGGACCGAAACCGACAGACCTGGACCCGCAGAAATGACGGCCACGACGCCCTCTCGCGAACCGCGGACGGCCAATTCCTTAATCGACGTGTCAGGGTAGGAGGTCTGTCCACCCCCGAATCTCACGTGAGGAAGACCTCTAAGGGGAATTCCAGAAGCCAGAAGTCATTGGCTGTCCAATGCGTTTTTGCGACTTTCGAACTCACGCCTCGTCAAGCTTTCAGAAGCCCAGTCGACCCAAGACGCCTCCGGTATGACATCATGGCGGTCCAGGAGGCTTCCAAAAATATCATGGCGGTCCAAGAGGCTTCCAACAGAAAAACAAGAAGACCCCAGGATGGCCCAGGAGGACCTCAGACCGTCCCCAGGAATGCCCAAGAAGGCCAGACAGAGGGCTCCGGAAAGGCCTCAAGACGGCTCCGAGAGCGCCACAGAAAACCCTCAAGACGGCAGGCCGGCAAAGACGCAGGACGGTCCGGGGTGGTTCCCAGACGTCCCGAGAGGGCCCTGCGAGACTCGTCAACCGTAAACTGACGGTTCGTGTTTTCGGTGGGCGTGTGGTCGGCGCTACCCCAGTGCTAGCATGAGATACTGCTTGGCTGGCGCAGACGCAGGGGTGTCCGGAATCCGGCAACATCCTCAAAGCATTGAAGAACGCGTTTCCTGACAAGTGTCAGAGCTATCGAGCACCACGACTTTGAACGGCATGTCGCTCTATTTTTGACGAGGCTTGTAAGGTCGTCCAAAAGGACCCTACGAGGCTTCGAGGGAGCCCCAAAAAAGGCCCCCCCCCGAAGGGAGCTTCAAACGTTCAAGACCACCCAAGAGAGCCCCAAAAGGCTTCAAGTT